TCTTGGTTCCACTTGCCTCTTACCGTGACTTCAGTGGAAATGTCAGATTCAGGATCTAACACAGACTGATCCATGTCCTACACAGTTCTTACAAGTTCATAGAAATTTCTGTTCAATTAGAACCAAGTATTTGAGTTGATGATTGTAATTTTTATACAATGTTGTAATTTGTTTTTCAACAATGTTTTGATTAATGTTTTGTTTCCGTTACAATACAATACATTAGGGAAACAAAACATCAATCAAAACATTGCTCTCTTTTTTATTCGGGCTACTTAAATTTATTTTGGGCTAAAACTGAAGAGTCCCTGCCCGAAGGGCTACCAGGGAGTTTGAAATTTTGCGAGGCCTGATAATAATAGTACATTTTAAAAGCACCTTTCAAGACAACCAAGGACACTTAAAGAGTAAAACGCATAATAGATCAATAACAAGATGAAGAACAATAAAAACAAAAAAGCACAAGATAAAATGAACAAACATTAGGTTCACAGTGAATATGCAGATTTGAACAGATGGGTTTTGAGTTGAAATTTAAATTGGGGGAGAGAAAGTGTTTCTTATATCTGGGGGAGAGAGTTCCTCAGCCTGGGAGCGGAGCAGCTGACGGCTCTGCTTCCCATGGTGGTGAGGCGGAAGGAAGGCACAGCAAGCTGGACAGAAGAAGAGGATCGAAGTGAAGGGGCAGAACAGGTGGTGCTTAACAGGTCAGAAAGGTAAAAAGGAGCAAGGTCATGAAGGGCCTTGAAGGTGAGCAGAAGAAGTTTGTATATTATTCGGAATTTCACCGGCTCCCAGTGAAATTCCTGAAGAACAGGGGTGATGTGCTGGTAGGAGGGGTTCTGGTAATAATCTGTCTGGTAATAATGCAGGCAGCGGAGTTTTGAACCAGTTGAAGCTGATGGAGGGATTTTGGGGGGAGACCATGTAAGAGAGAATTACAATAGTCAAGGTGGGAGGTAACGAGACTGTGGATGTAGACTGGGTGCAGGATGTAATCTGTTAATGCTGCATAGATGGAAATGGGCAGGTGAGATTATTGTTGTGAGATTTATAGGACAGTGAACTGTCTAGGATGACACCAAGGCTCCTAACCTGAGGAGAGGGGAAAACTGGAGTTATCGATGGTGAGAGAGAAATGGTTCGCCTTCAAAAGGTTGGATTTGATGCCTGTAAGGTGGATTTCAGTTTTATCCTCATTGGGCTTTAAAAAATATAATCTACTGACTGGACTGGTTAATGTGTTAGAAAAGGAAGGATACCACAACATGAAATGAAATGAAAATAATCACAGGCTGAATTCAAAGACAAGCTGTAAATCAAAGTGAACAAAAATGTGCACCAGGCTAGTGCTTGTTGCCAGAATGGGCCTCAGTAGTGTTTATGCCGCCACATGCATGCCTGACAACATGGGACCATGCTCCTCCGGTGCACTAGCAGCTCTTCTCACAGATCTGGACCGAGCTCCTGGACAGTCCGAGGTGCAACCGAACTATGATGTCCCTGAGGTGTTCAGTTGGATTGGGGTCGGGTGGGGGTGGGTATCCATGGACATGCCTCCGTAGACCATCACTGACCCACCGCCAAACCGGACATGCTAAACGATGTCCTCCATGGATGTCCTTCAGGGTAAACTTGCCAATCAGGCTCCTCGGTCCTGGGCAGCAAACACAGCGCCCCCTAGAGTACGTCATGTCCTCGTGAAGTTGGTGAAGTCTGTTCTGCTGCTTAGATGGAAACGGGATAGAACAATATGAATGGGTGAATAAAGCATGTTGTATAGATCACCTTGAGTGCTGTGGGAGAGAAGAAAAGTGCTATATAAGAATCAGTCCATTTACCAATACTGTGTCGATGGTAGTTTTGCTAAAAAGATGTCAGACTCTGAAGCTTTCTGTGGTCCCCTCTCCACCTGGACTAGTAGCGTTCTCCTGTCTGAGCAGTGTCCAGAAAAACAACGTGGGTTTTATTGGCAAACTTTGTGGGAAAACCTGGACAGATGTGTCCATCTGTTTCCCCATGAATTAATGCTTCGGGTTTTAACAGGATGAATCTGTCTTTATTAACAGGTTACATACCACGGACTTCCAACCCTTACTTGATCCAGCTGCCTTGGCTAATTATAGACTGATATCTTATCTTCATTATAGACTTTTTGAAAGAGAAGTAATCAAAGAGTTAACTCATCATCCCCAAAAGAGGAATATTATACTTGGTCCTAAAAATGTTAAAGTTGATGTCCAACCTGATACTTGGCTCAGATGGCCTCAGGTGTACTTTCAACAAATACGTAGAGCTAGCCTGATTCATTTGTGCAATGTCATTAAAGTTAGAAACATCCTGAGTCAGAGTGCTGCTAAAAAACGGGTTCATTATTATCAGGATGTCCAAAACATGACCTGAAAAGCCTTCAGTTGACTCAAAGCTCCGCCCACTGGCACTGCAAAGAGATTATTAGCTTCTCTTCAGTGGCTCCCTGATAAATTCAGACTTGAATTTAAAATCCTTCTCATGTTCAAAGTCTGTTCAGCCACATCCTCAACACCTCACAGTTATTATCCGGACAGCACGTCGCTCTCAGACCGCTGGCTTACCTGTGGATACTTGTTGGCTGATGTATCAGTAGAGGACGCTCCAAGCTATCAAAATGTAGGATGAAATATTTAATTCTAAAAAAAAAAGAAATCAGAACAAAACAGTTAAATTCATGTTGTAGAGGGCTAAGGGTGACGATGGAAATGCACTAAAACTGTATCACAACAACAATAATAATGAAACCAGCGTCAGACAGCTGCCTGTGCCCGTCCTGGAACGAGATGTCAGTGTGCAGAAGAACCCCAGCATGTTAGCAGTGTGTTTCCAGAGGAAGCTGGGAGCTGACATGCTGACTGTGCTGCGCCATCACACGTTCATGATGCTGTTTATACAGCATTTAGGAGTTTTGTTTTTCATGGGTGATTCTGAAGTACATTATTATTTGTTGTTTTTTATATAAATATGAATATTCAGATCTATTTTTACTTTAATATGTGGTTTTTATTTTGACTCCAGATTAGTTCTTCAGTTTGATTCGTTGTGTCCTCCTCTTCAGAATGTTCCGGCTCCACTGTTCACCGATCCCAACGAGGTGGCCCAGTACTTAACCCTGAAGATGACCGAGTGTGAGAAGCTGGAACTTCCTGTGCTGCAGACTCACACAGCTGATAATAAAGTCATTGAGTGACAGTATAGTGAAAGATCCGCGCTAACTGTTCTGCATAGTGACAAACAGAAATATTAGTCTTAAACTGTTCCTTTATCTCACACCAACGCAAAGCCACGACTGCTCTTACAATTATCTGTACAGGAACAACTTTTTTCATATAGTTTGCCCTTAAAACTAGAATCTGCTTCCTGTTTTGTTCATATTTGACATTTCTTATTATGAGACTTGCTTTGTAACATAAAGCATTGTAGAATAACTGTTTCTAATATTAGTTCATCGGTACAAAACAAAACAAACAAATCCTGTATTTTCCAAATTCAAAATCAACAGTTTGTGTAAATATCCCTGCTGAAGGTGAAGAAGTGTATTTTTCCTTTGTGTCGGAAGCACCTTCAGATTCAAATGTCTCCCATATGGCCACATAAATTTTGTTTGTGTAGTAACTACGTTGCTTTGTGTGTGGTCGATAGTTCTTTCCTGACAAAACAGTATTAAATCATTCCCTCTATCAGACAGCGTTCCGGTTGGACTCCAGCTGGGAGCGCTTTGAGCCTCACCAGGTGAACAATGAGAACATGTGATGATAGTGTTTTGTAATAACAGCATAATGGCAGTAATAATGTTGCACAAAAAATGTTTAAAATATGAATTGTTATTACATTAAATAATGTAATTTATAACAGACATAATCGTCATTATCCAGAAAGAATTCCCTGAGTGTGTATAACAACCATGAAAGAGAGTTGGGAGCTCCACTCTTGCACTGACAGAATATACAGAGTCGTGTGTGATTATGTGAGTGCATCATATTTTTAAGAGCGTGTTGTTCCAGTAAACCTCTGCCACAGGATTGGTGGTAGCTGGCGTTTTCTAAAAGGCCTGTTACAGTACCCACCTCCTGTGGAAGCAGCTCCCAGATCAGACTCAGGAGACAGACATCTGCTCAACTTTCAAGATCAGGCTTCACATCTGTCTTCACTGAAGGTGGTCCGTAAGAGATGACAGGATGACCCCAACCTCAGCAACAGGACCGCTCTCAGCACCGACCAAGTGTGTTTGAACTGTGTCTTCATTCCACCTACTTCACATACAAGGGTCAGTTCCACAGGCAGAAACATGGGTGTGCCATGGGCTCCCCAGTTTCATCCATTGTGGCCAATTTGTACATGGAAGAAGTGGAAAAGAGGGCTTTGCTATCCTACCCTGGAACACCACCAAGCCATTGGTTCAGATATGTGGATGACACCTGGGTGAAAATCTGATCCGTTTGTCCGGGTCGGAACCCGGTTAATTGCATAAGTACAAGGAGGCGGGACCTCACAGCAGAAATATACTCCAAAACGTGTTGTACATTATTATATGTATATTATATGTAGCGTGGTATTTTTTCAATTATTGTATTTACCAACATCAAGAAGTCACAAGCAAAGACCAAACCATGGTGCATGTTTAAACAAGGAAAGTTTACTGGTCAAAATTATTTATTAAAGAAATAAACAACATTTTTTTCACCCCCAAAAATACATGTTTAAAGCAACACAACGGTGGCCCAATATCAGGCAGAACTCCACTCTGTCGAGTGGGCAATCATAATGAGGCAGTTGGTTTTATTTTGTGGATTCAAGCTGCTCTTCATAT